GCCACGTGTACACTGTTATCACTGCTCACAGCTGCATGTATGACCAAATGTCACTGCTCACAGCCACGTGTACACCAAGCTATCACTGCTCACAGCCACTTTTACACCCAGCTGTCACTGCTCACAGCTGTGCACACACCGAGCTATCACACTGCTCCCACCCGCGTGTACACTGAGCTATCACACTGCTCACAGCCACGAACAAGCTGGAGAGGAAAACAACTGGAGATGAAGAACTGAGCTGAAGCCTGAGCGCCCAGCCTCCTGGGCCCCAGCGCAGCCTCCTTGGGCCCTCTGGCTGGCAGGCTGGGCAGAAACGTTGAGTGGCTGGCCTCCTGGGCTCTGCTGGTGTGATGTCCTCGGAAGGAGGACATCCGGGCACAGGCCACACCCGGCCAGCTGTCCCTCAGGCACCTCCCTGATGTTCTGGGGTGGCCTCTGCCCCCTCTGCCCTCACCTACCTACCCACCTCCTTGTCAGGGCTCAGCCGGCACCGGCCTGCCTCTCCCTTTCCCAGCCAGTGGGCAGTGAAGGGCTGCTGGGCTCACTGCCCCTGAGCCACAGCCACTCCAGCCTGCCTGGAAACCAGCCAGAGGCCTGAGGTCCAACCACAGGGGAAGAGCAAATGCCAGGAAGTAGGCTCTGCGAGGCTGGCACCAACTTGTGCTTGGGGCGACCTGGGCCCCACCCCAAATCCAGTGCTGGCTGTGCTGGGCCCTTGGGGCAGGTGTGGTGGGCTTGAAGGCATCGGGTTTCCTGAGTGAAAGCGGTGCCCTTCCCGCCCCCCACCCATGTTCTGTCTCCTCACGCTGGCAGCACTGTGGGCAGGGGAGGTGCAGCAGGCAAGCAAGGGGGACAGGACAAGCCATCGGGCCGGCGCCCCAGTACCCCTGGAGCTCCGCAGCCTGGCCCAGTGAGGTTGGGAGCAACAGAGACAGACGCTCACAAACACACCAGGACACCACACACAACCGCGAGTGGTCTCTGTGCACTGCCGCAGACCAGCCGCAGGCACTGGCGGGCACGAGAGAGAGGCTCAGAAGGCCCAGAGAGGTGCGTCAACGTGCCCCGAATCACAGAGCGTGCCAAGTGGTTGTTGTTATGTGCCGTAGAGTCGGACCCGACTCATAGTGACCCCTTCTTAGGTTTCTGAGGCAGTATCACTACGGAAGTAGGTTGCCCCATCTTCCTTCTGAGGAGTGACTGGTGGGTTTGAACCTCCAGCCTTCTGGTTAGGCAGAGCCAAACACAGGCTGAGCCTCAAACTTTACTCTCCTAGCCCATCTCCACAACACAGCACCCCTGGGCCCAGAGCTGCCCCGGCACCTGCGCCCTGGGGAGAGCCTGCCCACCGAGGCCTGGTGAGGACAGGAGTGAGTGAGCCAGGGCAGGGGGGCTGGCCCGCCCCGCTCATGCCACCCCGCTCCAAGCCTGTGGAGTTGGTGGCTGTTGGCAGGACAAAGTCCTCGAGCCAATCAAGCAGGAGCCTCTAAGGGGGTCAAAGGGCACCACGGTTCTGGGGAGGAGCCGCCCGCACCTGCTCACAAGGTGCTGGGGGCCACCATGCAGCCACGCCCCTCAAACCTGGGGGCTGGCAGCACGGCTCAGAAGGCGCCACATCACAAGTGCGCCTCGTCCTTCCGGGGCGCAAGCAGCTGGACAGGAGTGGGAGTGGCTGTGCTCCAATGGCCCTTATGTGCAAAATCGGGGGCACCGACTCCTGACCCCCTGCCCTAACGCCAGACGCGCCAGCGGCCCGCTGGGCAAGGGAACAGCGGTGGCGGCTGCACTGGCCAGAAAAGGGAACTCCTGGCGGCAGACCACCTCCTCCTCCGCCCACGTGACCAGGTGAGCACGTCTGCACGCCACGTGTCTGTGCTGGAGGCCCCAACAGCTGTGCCCAGAAAGGCCTGTTGCCATCACCAAAGGCAGGGCTACTTTGGGCCTCAAGACATCAGCCCGGGGCCCTGCCGAGAGGGGACCCCAGTACCCACCGAGAGCCAGCCCTACTCAGGAGCTACTGCCCCAGCGAGAGGCACCTCACTCAGGCCCTGAGTGAGCCACCTACCCAGAGCCACCTACCCACGGTCAAGGTTAAGAACACACTCCGGTGCCCGGGCCCCCCCAAAGTGTGGGGGAAAGTAAATGTCTCGGAGACCCCGCTGTGCCAGGGGCCCTCAGGACACCGAACTGTTGTCCCAGGGAGCCTGCCCCTCAGGTCTAGTCACTCTGAGCCTAATCCGCCGTTCCCCCTGTCCTAGGAATCCCCCCATTTCCCTCGCCAAGCAGCTTCAAAGATGGTCTTTCCACCCACACCCGCCACTTGGGAATCTTGGTAAAATTCCCGTCTTCCGAATTCTGAAGCTGCTGCCCACACCGAGTGGGCGCCGGCACAGGGCCGCATGGGGCCTGTCCTGGGAGCCGCACACCCAGAACCCCACCTGCCGCTGCCTCTGCCGCCCTGAAGCCACGGCCCAGCGCTGCCACGCCGTCAGTGCTGTCCCCTGACCTCGCTGGACTGCAGACGGAACCGCCTCCAAGCTTCCTTGACCTGTGCGCCTCTCGCCCCTTAACTGCTGAGGCAGCACCCCGACCCTGCAGGGGGATAACCTGTGCGCCTCTCGCCCCTTAACTGCTGAGGCAGCACCCCGACCCTGCAGGGGGATAACCTGTGTGTCTCTCGCCCCTTAACTGCTGAGGCAGCACCCCGACCCTGCAGGGGGACTCGGCAACTGACCGCACACTGTCACGGACACAGTGCTTCTAGGCCGGGGCCCGTGGACAGAGAGGCAGCAGAGAACGTGTCCACGTCAGTTACCTGCAACGCGCGGACACAGGCGCCTGGAGGGGCTGCCCCTGGCCTGCTGCTGAGGGAGAAGCCAGTGAGGCGAGGACAGAGGGGCAGAGGGACGAGTGAGTCTGAGAAGCACGGCCCAGCTGCCCCTGTTCCAGGGAGTCCCAGGAGGAAGTGGGAAGCATGCACGTGGCTGCGCAGAAGGACACCTTCAGGGAGGTGGTGGCCAGCGCCTGCCCTCCAGGGACAAGGGCGTGGGTGTGAAGACCTGCAGGGAGGCGACGGAGGCAACAAGTCGAGGCAACAAGTCGCCAGGGCTTGGCCAGTGACAGCCCCGGGGGAGGTGTGGACACGGGCCTCGCCACAGGCACGCGATCCTGGCTCCTGGCCTGGGCCGCACTCACCCCCCTCCCAACACTTGTCTGTCAACTTCCGTAAAAAGCGCCTCTTTCTCGCACACTCGTCGCTGCCGCTGTTCACCACCACCTACTCAGCCCTGGAAGGCGCCCATGCTACCCCACAGCGAGCGCCAGACTCTGCAGTTCCTGGAAGGTTCAGAGTCTTTCGCGGGAACGCCTCCTGCTTCAAATCTCCCCCCCAACCCCCTACCCTGAGCGCCCAGACCACGTTCTGCAAGCCCAGGTGTGTGCTGAGGCTGGCGGAAGGCAGGCAGGAAACCTGCCAGGTCTGCGCTCAAGTTCAAGAATAGGAACAGCCACCAGGTAGGCATCCTCTCGTGGGTGCTGCTGAGGTCAAGGCAGGCAGATGTGACACGTGAATCAACATCCTGTTTGTCTCCCATCATGTAATTACCGGCGTCCCACCCCTCCTGACACCCCTTCCCCTCCACCCTCATCCAGAGCCCTCACTCAGGGTTTAATAATCTCACGGGAGCCTCCTGGGACATTCTTTCATCAGCGCAACCACCAAAAATAAAACCCACGAGCCTTTGAAGAACAGCACTCCACTACCTTGAGGGCCGTGAATCAGCATCACCCTCAGTGGTGAAGTCACACTGCCCTGTGACTAACACTAACCCTTGTTTACTATAACTGCAGGGTCCCCTTTGTGTGCTAACCTCGGGCTTCACCATTTGGAAATCAGACGTAATGGTAGATGATGAAGAAAAAGGCCAAAGAGCACAGGTGGACTCTGATGCATCAATTACCTCCCCCAAAGGACTCCTGTTCCCGGCAAGCCCAACTTTTTAAGTTGTCTCCAAGGACAGCGCAATAAAGGAATGGGTACATTAATTTGCTGTGCATTTAGGGTTTGCATTAGGTGAACCCCAGCTGATCCGCAGGGCTGGCTCAACGCCCTGCCCCCCCAGGGCGAAAGCATCGACCTGCTGCCCGGAGGAGCTCAGAAGGCAGGGAAGGAGGGCAGAAGCAAGCAGTAAACACAAGGAGGTGGCGGGAGGAGTGCTGTTACAGGCAGGGATTGCAATCAACAACACGAAACAAAATAGGTGTGTTGCTGAACCCTGAACCGAAAACCAGTCTGCTCTGTAAACTTTGCCCCAGATCATCATCGTCGTCGTCACCAAAGCTGACCGGGTGCAGAGACCAGGAGGGCTGAGAAGAGAGCAAGCGTGCAACCACTCAGCACCCATTTACAAAGGAAAACCCGACAGAGAAAGGCAACCGCACGCCCAGCTACCAAGGTGGCTTCTAGCTGGGGGAGGTCAGGCTCTAAGAGCCGGGAGCAAGAGAAGCAGCTGAGGGGTGTGTGGGGGCACCCAGAAGGGCTGGCTTTCCACACCCCGCTTTCTGCCTGCGGGCTGAGAGGTTTCGCGGGAACTTAGGCTTCGAGTTTCCTGATCAAAACGTCCTGGCAGGTTGACGAGGGGTTATGTCGGGCTTCTCGAACTCAAAGCGTCAGGCTCGCCGAGTGTGGGGCTGGCGGGCACCCGGCCCAGGGCGATGAAGTTGGCACCACCGAAAGACCCAGTCAAGTTAGCACACGGCTCGGAACCGCCCGGCACAAACAGGCAACAAAGGCTGGCTTTCCTGCAGGGCCCGTGCCCAGCTCCCAGGGGGCTCCCTCCCCGGGCCCCGCGATTCCGGGAAAGCCAAGGTGACCAAGGCCGTTCCCATCCCAATCCGCACGGCACGAGGAGCCTCTAACGTGATGAGAGGCGAGCTGCAAAACTCGGCATGCCCAGCCTCCTGCGAGGCCAGAGGAAAAACGAGGTGAAATCGGACAGCAGCTGCCCACCTGCCGCTCCGGGAGCCAGCCCTTACTGCACAAAGCCTAACTAGGCCGGCACCTCTGGGCGCCGCCACGGAGCCTAAGGGACCGGAGCGGAGACGCTCCGAATGCAAGTCACCGGGGAAGGAGGCCGCCCGCGCCAACCGCCAGGGCTCTCCTCCGCTTCCAGAGCCAGGAAGGACACGGGACCGAGAAGCGCAGGCGTTCACACACCCGGGGCAAAAGGGCGGAGAAGAAAGTGGGTTCGCAGCAAAGTCCAGGCTCTGGGGAGGCTCCTCCACCCAAGTGCAGGGAAGGGAAGACGGAGCAGCGGCCGGGCGCCGTCCCTCCCTCCCCGGCCCAAGACGGGGCTCGGGGCCCGCGGCCCACGGCAGGGCGGCCCGGACCCCCGCGCTGGGCCGCGCGGCCCTCACCTTGTCCGAGTCCAGGTCGGGGTCCGCCTGGCACAAACGGTACAGGAAGGACTTCGGGTCTCGACACAGCGTCTGCCGGGTGGTGAGGAAGTAGGTGCCGCCGACGTTGAGCCGGACCCACTTGGACACGGTGCCGGGCCGCGGGGCCGGGCCGCCCAACCCCGCGCTGCAACGGCGGCATAGGCCGCCCCCCAGCCCCGCCCCGAGGCCGCCCGGGACCGGCGGCAGCAGCTCGCAGTGATTCTCCGCCATGATCCCAGTAAGCCCCACCACAGCTCCCCTCCACCGGAAGCGTCCGGCTTTTAATACAGTCCCCCCAGGCTCCGTCCCGCCCCCGGGTCCGCCCTCGTAACACGCCCGCCCCGGCGTCACGCGGGAGGCGGAAGTTCCGGTCCGGAAAAGCGGCCGGTCGGCCGTGCCCGCCTCTGGCCCGGGCCGGCCATTACGTGGCCGACGTGGGCCGTCAGGGTGGGGCCCCGCGCCCTTCTCAAATGAAGACGAGCCACACCAGCAAACGTCTACACCTCTACATGCCTTTTTATTACAAGACTACCGAGCATACGTGGAAAATTCATCATCCGGTCATTACATCTAAAGCACAAATACTTGAAAAAAAGGAATAAACAGATTCATTAAATTATATGATTAAATCATTGACCAAATAGAAAATTTATATAATAAAGCCAGAAAAAAATTTGTAAAATATAGTTTACAATAATTATTCACATTCAAGGCTGTACATCAATACATACAACAACGTGGCCCCGAACATGAATCAATCCAAATAATTCATATATTAGAATTTAAATAACACAGACTGAACTAGAGGCCGACGATAGCCAGCAAATAACCTTATAGAAGAATAAAATACAAAAGTGTATATCCTAGTATCACTGCATTATTTGTTTCCATAAGTTTTTTTTTTTTTAATTTTTTTAGATTTTGCTTCCTGTACATCACAGTTGCAGCTACGGACCAGGTAGAGAGTATCACACATGTTCTAACCGACAGCCACCAACCTGGAGGCAGCTAACACACTACGGGGTCATCCTATGTGAGGTTAAGGGGCAGCTAAAGCAGCTCTCAACTCTGCCACGGTGGAACTTTGCCAACGTCCAATCAAGCTCCCGTCATAGAGGAGGCTCTTCACTGGCAAAATGACCCCATTCACGTCACTCAGCCAGACGGAGCGGACCAAGGTGGGTCACACGGCCATGAAAGGGTTGCCTCTGGACAAAGCTCTCTGTTCATCGTTTGGTGTTTCTTCGTATTCAAGAGCTAGGGGGCAACTCAAGTCGAATCGTGGCTTGTTCGGGGTCCTCCGCAGCTGGCTGAGCGAGGTAACAAACTGCTGTGGGCCGCAGCATCTGCCCCTGACCAGCTTGCTACTGGCTGGCTCGCCTACAACTCCAGATCCCGCTCTGAGACAACTTCTGCTCCAGCCCGACGAAGGTGCTTGCCAGGCGTGGCTGGAGGAGACGCCACAGCCACCGCAGCCACTTCCAGCTGCGTGTGGTGTGGGTGTGACAGGCAGCAGTGTGGACCAACGCGGCCATCGGAGACCAGTGCCGTCCCCACACCCCCACAGCTGTGCTCGCGGCAGGGACCCAGGTCTGCACAATTCAACCACAGCCTCTGGTGGCATCCGGATGGCCTGGCATGCGAGTTGACTGTCAGAATCCTCATCCACCTCCCGTCTCCCTGACACACATGAAGTGGAACAAATAAGAATGAGACCAAATTGGATGATGTGGACTTGACAACAGGCAACCTCAGCACTGTGGACAGGGAGTGGGGAAGGGGAAACCGGCCGGGCTCCTCTGGGCCACTGAAACGTTCTCACACAAGTCCCACAACTGGAAGAGTGGGGGGCACATGTCTGTCAGACCCGGGCAGCGTAATGGCTGCTGCTTTGGGCATCAAGGCCTCCCGATCCCACGTGGTCTGACGCTGTGAGCGGTACTTGAGCCGGTGAGCACCTGTGGCCTCTGCTGACGCAGATGTAGACTCAGGACCACGTGCGCACCGAGCACGAGATTCTGGAGGTGCCGGCGCACGGAGCCAGAGCAGCAGGGGGGGCAGCGTGCAGGCACGCCCGCCCCGCAGACCCGGCGGCGCTCAGGATCCCAGCAGAGCTGAGGGGCTTCACCGGAACGCCGAGCAGCCAAGCATCAGCAGGGAGAGAGACCACCTTTAAACAAGCAGACTCCTCCAGCCAGCAACACCACTTCCAGCCAACGGGAGAGGGGGCAGTGAACGTGAGATTTGAAGGCTAGGCATCGCAGTGTCATCTGAACAGTGGGACAACCGAGACCGTCCGCGCGTTTCACAGCCGGACGACGGTCAGGTAGATGGTTACACGTCCCACTCTGAACCCTACCGTCCTCAGTGCTGCTGAAGGAACGTGCCTGGTGTGGAGATGCCGGAAAGAGCTGCACGCACAGTGACCCCTGTTGTACAACGTCAGGCTGGTGGGCAAAGCCAGCCACCGTGGGGGGACGCGGCGACCACGCCACTCAAACGTTCACAGTGGTCTTCTCGGTGGGGAGCCCCCAGCTGACGTGGGTCTGGAAAGCAGTGTCTGCAGAGCCCCTCTGGAGGGCCCTGGGGGGGTCTGTGTCACCATGTGTCTCCTCTGTGTCCCATCAGGCTGGGACCACAGATGCCACACAGCAGCCCAGGAAGAGTGCTAGGACGGGGAGGGGGCTCCCACCCGCGCCACTGCCCAAAGCATGTTTTCAACAAGCTGGAGACAGCAGCCTCACAGAAGCCCGACCCAAGAGGGTGGCCTGGTGTCCACAGGCAGGGAGTGTGGCTCCTGTGGGCCCCCAAAAGGGAAGGGGACCACCTCACCAAACCAGCTGCCTCTGCGTTTCACGCAACGCCCCCGTCCCCACACCCTTCCCACCCTCCCCATGGGGCTCGAGGCCGTCCTGGCCTGCTCTATCCCATGGGGCCTAACCGTGTTCTCCCTGGACAGCCACGTTTATTTCCCCGTGCTGTGCGTCTGTGCTGGGACACCCAGGGCCACACCTGAGGACGTGAGGCACCTGGGTGGGGGGGCTGCAGACGCCCAGGGTGATGCGAGCAACAGGGCGAGGCGAGCTGGTGCGGCCTTCGGACCTCAAGGCAGGGCTTGTGGGTAGCGGCTGGGGAGGACCAGAGCGGGCTCTCACCGTCAGCTCAAGCAGAGGGCTGTCTGTGCAGCTCTGCCTGCCAGCCTCACCCTCAGCACCCTTCCAGAGGCCTCAGGCCAGGTGGGCCCTGGGTGGTGAAGTCCAGGAGGTAGCGGGGTGGCCAGAGGCCAGCATGGAGGCCAGCTGCCCTCAGCAGCCCAGCGAGGTGCTGCCAAAACATCATCCTCGGTGTGGGCCTGGCCTGATGCCCAGGGTCAGAGACGGCTCATTCCAGGTGACAGATGTGTGGGTTTGGGGTGGGGGCCAAGAGGACCGTTCCTATTTGAGCCTTTTGCAAAAATCTACGGGAAGCAGCAAAGCTGTGCATCCTGCAGGGCCTCCAACCCAAGGGCTGCGTGTGGAGCTGCTGATCTGGGAGTGAGTACGGTGGCATACAGGGCTGCCCCCTGGGGACAAGCTGGGCTGGGGACTGGACAGGCCCCGTCTGCTGGGCCACCAACAGCCTGCTCTGCCCGAGGAGGGCAAAGACAGGCAAAAAGACCAACCAGGTGGGGGCTGTGGGCACAAGAGCAGCACATAGCAAACTGCCGGAAAAGGGGAAGATGGTGTCAGACCAGGTCAAGTGCGTAGGGGTCAGACCAGGTGCACTGTCAGGGCGCGCGCGTGTGTGTGTGGGGTCAGACCAGGTGCGTTCAGGTCAAGTGCGCAGGGGTTCAGACCAGGTGTACTGAGGTCAGGGCGCATGGGGAGGGGAGGGGGGTCAGACCAGGTGCACTGTCAGGGCGCATGTGTGTGTGTGGGGTCAGACCAAGTGCGCTCAGGTCAAGTGTGCAGGGGCTCAGACCAGGTATACCGAAGTCAGGGCGCGTGGGGATGGGAGGGGTGTCAGACCAGATGTGCTCAGGTACAGGTGGTGGGTGGGTTCTTGCCTCTCATGCAACGGTGAATGGGTGACACTACCTCCCAGGCAGCCGGGTCCCTGCGGGACACAAGTCACCAGCAGGCTGCAGTCTGGCCACAGTGCCCCAGGGAAGGGGTGCCCCCACACCTGCTCCATCCTAAGCGCCTCTCAGCCCTGCTTAACCAACGGGCCACTATAAAGGTAACACCTTTACAGTGAATAGGGAGGGACCCGAGGTCTCGCTGCCGCACAGGCAGGCTGCAAGGGGCTTGCTGTCTGCTTCTAGTAGGGACTGCCCTGTGACATGACCAGTCAGACCAGTCAGGCCACTGTGACGGGCCCCTTTCAGGGATGCCCTCTCCTGGGGTCGACCTGCCGGCTTCCATGACAACCCCGTGACCCTGACAGCCGGCATCCCTATCTCACCGTGTGTGAGCTCTTGTGAGAACCAGGACCAGAGGAGCTGGCAGCCCGGACGCCGCAGGGCCAGGCAGCCAGAGGTGAGGGGCACGGTGCGGGAGAGCCCAGACGAGGGCGGACGCCCAGCCGGCCCGCTCTGGCCGCGACCCGGGCAGAGGCGGCGGGTGCTCCCTGGGAGGACACTGGTGCTAACACGAGGGGGCGGGGTGGGGCGGGGCCTCGGCAGAAGCACAGAGCGAGGAAAGCGGCCTGAGCCCCTGTGGCTGCTGTTGGTTTTGTTCTTGTGTTGTCGGGCGTGGTTTTCTTTTCTCTTAAATAACAACGCTTCAAGGCGTCCGCCACCTACTCTCCCCCTGAGGTGCCGGCGGGGCGCGTGTCACTGGACTGCGGCGGCGGGCCGGCTCTGGTACCTGCGTCTCCACACCTCCTGGATCTTCTGGCACCACTTGTGGGCATTGCCGCTTGGGTCCATCAGGTAGTAGGTCCTGTTAGGCTGCAAGGCAGACGCCGCCACGGTGACCCTGCGCCAGGAGCCTCACCCTGTGCCCAGCCGTGCCCGGCCACTCCGTTGACCCCGCTAAATTCAACACGCAGGTGAACACGCTGCAGCTGCCCAGCTCAGCCCCGAATGCGGATCGGCCTAGCTGTGAACGGCGAGCCCCTGGGACGTGAGCCGGAGGAGCCCATGCCCTCCACCCAGCTGCCCTCGGGGGACACTCACTGTGTGAACAAAGAAGGTTTTAAAGTTCTTGGCCTCTGGTCGCAGCTCCGGTGACCACGGGATCTCCCCTTTCAGGACTTTGTTGACGGGGTCCACGTAGTACAGGTGGGGCCCTTCCGTGAGCAGCAACTGCCGCCGCCGAGCAAACAAGCCCTGGAAGAAGGCCGGGGGGCCGAGCTCAATGCTGATGGCGCCTCCTGCCCGCTGCGGGCACCACGGGCCTCCCAGGGCCCAGTGCCCGGGGTGGGCAGATCCTGGGGAGACGGGGCCCGCAGCCATCTGCAGCATTGCCCACTGCCCCTCACGCCGAGGGGGAGGCTGGCCTTGGCTGGGGGTAGGCAGGCCACCGGGGAGACGGTCACCCTGGGACACCTGCTGCGTGTGCAGCTCCGGAGGGCACAGCTGTGCACGGGCCCAGGGGCAGCACCACGGCCTCTGCCGACAGGGCCTCTGGTGTGGGGCCAGCAGGGCCGCCAGTGAGGGCCGCTTATGAAGGCCGCCCAGCGGGGCCACCAGGGAGAGTGTTCATGAGGGCCCCCCAGCAGGGCCGCCAGGGAAGGCCCCCCGGGCAGAGCTGGTACAAGGGCCTCCCGGCAGGGCCGACACCAGGGCTGGTAGCGAAAACCCCCGGCAGGGCCGACAGTGAGGGCCCCCAGCAGGGCTGATAGCGAGACCCACCCCCCAGCAGGGCCGACAGTGAGGGCCCTCCCAGCAGGGCTGACAGTGAGGCCCCAGGCAGGGCCGATAGCAAGGACTGCCCAGCAAGGCTGATAATGAGACCCTCCCGGCAGGGATGAAGTGAGGGCCACCCCCCAGCAGGGCCGACAGTGAGGGCCCCCAGCAGGGCTGATAATGAGACCCTCCCGGCAGGGATGAAGTGAGGGTCCCCCCAGCAGGGCCGACAGTGAGGCCCCCGGCAGGGCCAACTGAGGGCTGCCGGTGAGGGCCCCCAGCAGGACGCAGAGCCCTGCTCCCACCCGGAGCACCGCCGCTCGCGTGGTCTCCTCAGGCTGCATCCCCACAGCCCCTTGCTGTTGAACCCAGAGATGATCTCTCAAAGGGGAACCAGCAGCTGACGGGCCTGCCCGCAGGCAGCGCAGTGGCCTGGACGTGCCCCAGGTGGTAGGCTTACCTTCCGCTTGTCCACAGGGCCCATCTTCAGAATTAAGTTATTCTCCACAAACTGGTGCCTGGGAAAGAAGGGGCGTGAGAGACCCCAGGAGACACTGCAGGGCTGTCCCGGTCCCCAGCCCCGTCAACGCCATGCCATCGGCAATGCCACCCACGGCCGTCCCGGTCCCCGCCACTGGCAACGCCCCTCCCATCCCCACCAACAACCCGCCACCAGCAACACCACCCATGGTCCCCACTCCCGCCACTGGCGACAGCCCCCCCATGCTCTTGTCACCGTCAATGGTCCCCCATGGTCAATAGCCACCCCAACTCTGCCAATGACCCCAATGGTCGATGACCCTGCCCCAGTCCATGGTCCCCTGGGTCAATGCTCCCCACTCCCTCCATCAACACTCCCCACGGTCAACCACACACTACCGTCAATGCCCGTCCCTCACAGTCAACGCCCCCCCAAGGTCCACACTCCCCTGGCGTGCCCCCCCCTTATGCTGCGCAAACCCCACCTACTCAGGTGAACAAAGCCAACAGGTAGTTTCACCCGCACGTGCCCATTGGTGCCTGTCTCACGGGGATCCAGTCTAATCCAGGAGCTGGAAGGCTCGATGGCCGTGGTTGGGTGGGTGCCGACAGCAGGCCACCAACCGTTGCCTCCATCACAAGGTGGACACTGCAGCTATCCTGGCCGAGCTGGAGCACCACCCCGCTGATGGGGTGCTGCTGGGGACCTCCCTGAGCACAGACTGCAGCTCAGCATACCAACGGAGCCATTCAGAACCACAACCCCTGCAAGGGCAGAGCCATGGCCCCATAACCTCTCATCTGCCTTGGGGCCACATTGACACTGCAGAAGGCTTCGCGCTCGGCAAGGCTGCGAGAGGAAGTGCGAGGCAGGTGCAGCTTAGTGCCTGGGGCCCGCTTTACCCGACAGCAGGCCTGCCTCCTTTCCGTTCCCAGACCGTCAGGCCTGCCTTCTGGTCAGAGTCCAAGGGGACTGGCTGACAGTCACTTGATTTTACTGAAATTCCTGAGCTAAGCTCTGCTATAGAGACGGTGTGTTTCACAATGGGAAAAAGAGCCCTGGTGGCATAGTGGTTACAGTCCTGGGCTGCCAACCAAAAGGGAAGGGTCAGTGCTTCAAGCCCACCATGTGCTCCCAGGAGAAAGATGAGGCAGACTGCTTCTGTGAAGACTGACAGCCTTGGAGACCCTGTGGGGGAGTTCCACTCTGTCCTCTAGGGGCGCTGTGGGTCAGAACGGACTCCACAGCAGTGGGTGTGGTTTGGGCTTTGCTTCCATGAAGATTGACAGCCTTAGAGACCCTGTGGGCAGTTCCACTCTGTCCTCTAGGGGCGCTGTGGGTCGGAATGGACTCCATGCAGTGGGTGTGGTTTGGGCTTTGCTTCTGTAAAGACTGACAGCCTTGGAGACCCTGTGTGCAGTTCCACTCTGTCCTCTAGGGGCGCTGTGGGTCAGAATGGACTCCAGGCAGTGGGTGTGGTTTGGGCTTTGCTTCTGTGAAGACTGACAGCCTGGGAGACAATTCCACTCTGTCCTCTAGGAATCCACTTGACAGCAATGGTTTGGTTTTGGTTTTGGTGGCTTCTCAGCACCTGTCCTGTCCCCAGCACAAAGGCAGCAGAGTCTGCAGCTAGGAAATGACTGCTGAGTAGTAATAACCACTCAAAGGAGCAGTGGAAGTGCAGGGGTTATGTGGTCAGCTGCCAACTGAAAGGTTGGTGGTGTGAACCCGCCAGCTGCTCTGCAGGAGAAAGACCTGACAATTTGCCCCCATAAAGGCGGCAGCCTGGGGGCCATTGTGGGGCAGCCCTGCTCTGTCACGGGGGGTTGCTGTAAGTTGGAATCAACGCCGTGGCAACAGGTCTGGTTTTGGAAAAGGCCTCAGTCGACCGTCACCTCGTCGGAAGAAAAGGAAAAGGTGCCTCTTGTGCAACCACTTATGTTCCTTCCTGGCTCCGTGGGTGGGAGGGCGTGAGTGAAGAGCCTGCCCCCCACCCGACCTTCCGGGCGAGGCCTGGTCAGCAGAGGTGGGGGGGCCCGTGTGCCTGTGCTCGGCCTCCGGAGGTCCCACCACCGAGGGCCTGGCTGCCAGTGACAGCGACGTGGCCGGTGTGGCTCCTGAGAACTGCCGAGAATGGAACCAAGGGCGTGCTGCCACCTCCATGAAGGGAGCAAAGTCCCGCCCTCTGAGACACCCCAAAACCAGCAGCGATCCGCCAAACAGCAGGAGGGGCGCAGAGACCAGCGGTGCTGAGCCCGGGGAGAGACAGCGACGTCGCCACTCTTCCTGGGTTCCTTTCTGGGGTTCCTTTCACAGACCAAGTCACTCAAGGTCACCTGGCAGACAGGTGGGCCAGAGCATCGAGGGATTTCTGAAGGGGGCAGCGGTGAGGGGGCTGAAGGGGCCGACTGCACTGTCCAGAAGCACACGGGACAAATGCTGAGCACAGACGGCCCGGGGACGGACCACTCGGCTGAAGGAAGAGGCGCAGTCAGGGCAGGAGGGCTGCTCTCTAGCTTCGAGTGGGTTTAACCTGCTGGGGGACAGATGTGGACGGAAGGGCAACCTAAGCTTGTGCAGTGGCCACTACCAGGGGTGGCTCCGTGAGGTCTGGGCCTCAGGACAGGGGGTCGCCCAAGGGCTCTGGGTCCCAGTTTCCCACACACCACCCTAAGGCCGGGGGTGAACAGGGAGGGGGTTTTGTCAGTTAAACAAAAGCAAAACTAGAAGAAAGAACTAGGTATCTGCCAAGCCTGAGTAGGAAAGTTTACCCCCTAAGCTTAAAGCAAACTCAGTTACAAAACATGGAGTAGCACCAGCTGTCAACCACTCGGAGGGGGATCAAGGGAGGAGACGCCGGACAGAGTGGGAGAACAATGTGGGACAAAACTCACAATCATTAAAAAAAAAAAAAAGGGGGGCGGGGACCTGGCTTGCAGAAGAGCCTGGTGGAACCCCTGAGACTATGGCCACTAGCTGTCCTTCAGGTCTGGAATTAAACTCACTCCTGTGGCTTCCAGCCAAACAAAGGACAGACATAGGAACTGAACATTTACCTGAGGTAGATATACTCCTTGGAGAGATCAATCATGGGAGAAACAAGGGCTGTGTATACACGGAGATGGCTCGGGGGGCAGGAGTGCATGGAGGGAAGGACACAGGGAAGAGGTGACTCTGGGGAGGGGGAGGAGGTAGGAGGGGAGCTGCTGCATTGTGGGAAATTGTAGTCAATACCGTAAGACAAAGTGTATGTGAACTGCTGCTGTATGGAGAAAGAATTTGCTCTGTAAACTTTCCCCAAAATCACAACAGAAATTAAAAAAAAAAACATGGGGCAGCAGACATGGTGCCACAGACACCCGGGTAACGGGCAAGCCGGCCGGAGCAGACCCTCGGCACAGCCCACTCCGGCAGGGTCCGCACCGGCCGTGCACCGCGCCTGCGAGGCGCCGGCCTGGGAGGCCCTCAGGTGCAGAATCGGGCCACGCCCAGAGAGGAGGGCGCGGGAGCCACGATCCCTCGGTGGTCTCCATGAAGCAACGACGCTGAGCCCCACGTGTCGTCTGAGGCCCGGGGCACACTGTGCTCAGGTAACGCTGAGTGGACACTGTGTGAGTGTCCTTGCTCCGTCCTGGGGGCCTGAAAGGAGGGGCCCGACACGGTCTGCCTGTGTCCCCACACAGCTGCTGAAGACAGCTCCATGCGGGAACAGCTCAGCTCCGTCACGTTAAGGAGGCAGGGCCGGTACGGGGTGCTCTGAGCCAGCCTCTCTGGGGCTGAAGGGCAGCCGGCAGCAGCGCCTGCAGAGCAGTGGGCGGAGACCTGCCGCCACCGGGACCCTGCCCGGAGCCAGTGACCGCCAGCCCCCGACCCGTGGGAACGCCCCCCCGTGGCAGTTCTGTTATGGCACCGCTGGGCCACCACGACGGTCTCTCTGGGAAGGACGCTCCCCGCCGAAATGCCCCACGGAGGGGGACGGGGCGAGGAGGTCAGAGCTGTTCCCCGAGGTACTCTTCACACTAGAGACTGACCCACACAAAGGGCCTTTGGTATCTGCAGAGGGAGGACCCCGTCCCGACCGGCACCAGCCCCTCGCACACGCTCCTTCTGTCTCACACATGTACACTCACACATGCACACACATGCATTCTCACACACACATGCACTCACACGTATGCTCACACGTGCGCACACATGCACCCACACACGTACTCACACACATGCACCCACACACGCACTCACGCACACACGCACTCACGTACACTCACATGCACACACATGCACACACGCACACTCATGTGCACACACACACACTCACACACGTAGACTCACACATGCATTCACACGTACACTCATGCACTCACATGCGCACACTCATGTGCACACGCATGCACTCACACACATGTACACACGTGCATACACATGCACACACACACACACACACACATGCACTCACACACGTACACTCACGGCACACACACTCTGCCCGAGCGGCCCCACTACCCTGACATCGCTGCCTGAGGCCAAGGCTGCAGAGCCACCCGGGCCTCACCTGGGGAAAAGCTGCCCGGCCCCTGAGCAGGTCCTGGGGCTGGGCAGCCCCGCTGTGGCTTGGAGGGCAGATGTGGAGGGACAGGGCACCCACGTCAGCAGCAGTGCCCACTCATTTAGTTCCTCGCCCCCGAGCTTCCGAGAGCTTTCCAGTGACTTATGTCCTGGGAACGTCGGTGCTCACGGGGGCCCTGAAGGCTTTGCACCTCAGATGGTGGCCGCCCCTCTCTGAGGAAAACCCCACCTAGAAGGCCCCGGAGCGGCCGTGGAGGCCGTGCCGACACACAGTGCCCCGTGTGTCACGGCGGGACCGCACCCCGTGGGGACTTCAAGGCTGTGGCCTTCCTGGGGACCCCGGAGAGCCCGTGCACAGAAGCCTCTGCACACCCCCTGCCGCTCCCGCCTGGGCAGAGCGGTCCGGCCCAGCACTTCTCCAGCCCCTTCTCCCCTGTGCAGCGCATGCTATGCCCCCAGCGACACCCTGCTGGGAAGTACTGGCGGGAAGGGCAGGCCAGCCCCAGAACGAAGGTCCAGATCGGCCGACAGCAGCAGCCCTCCTGGAGGCGATCGCTCTCAGAAGGCAATGCCCTAGTCCTGCCCTTCCCCAGCGCCCCGCACTGCCAGCCGTCTCTCTCCTCCCCACACAGTGTCGCCTAAGTTACCTGTGTCCACTCTCCCGCCCAAGCCGGCCCACAAGTCCTCCCTGCCTTCCTCCATCCAAACACGCCAGCCCCCAGCCCCGCCCCGCCGTACCCCGGCCCCCTCCAGGCCACAGCCCGAGCGCCGCCACGGCAGCCTTAGCCACCGTTCTGCCCTGCAAACGGCAATGTGGGACAATGCTGACAATCGCAGGCAATATGGGGCTGGGGAGCTCTCTTGAACACACCCAGCAGAGAAAGAAAGACTGACACCACACCCAGGTCTGACGCACCCCCAAACACCCAGCACCACAGACTGAGGAGGAGAAGGGAGCGTTCAGACCTCTGCACAAAGGAAGAACACCCTCTGCACCAGCTCCTACACGCTGACTGTTCAGGACGTGAGACGCACAGAGGGCGCCGGCGGCCCTGAGCACCCAGCCCACGGCCCCCGCAAGCCTGGGGTGGACCCGAGCCGAATCAGGGCATCAGGGCACTCGCGGGCACCCAGACCACGGGCACAGGGGCACTTGGGCCTGGCCTGCTGACGCAAAGCCAAGCCTCCTCCCCAGGTCACCCTCCCTCCTCCTAACAGGGGATCAGAACCAAACAAGCGGGAACAGACCACGGACTGGAAAGAACCGTGGGCATCAGGAAGAGCTCAGAAGCAGCCCAGCGAGTGGCCACAGGGCACAGTGGCTCAGAGCAAAGTGAGACTGCAGGTGGGTCCAGCGGCTGGGCCGGGCCCTGTCCCCACACCCGCTTCCCGGTGCTCACTGCCACCTGCCCACGAGGGCCTCCCTGGGCACGTCAGTGGCTGTCCGGGAGGCGTGGGGAGCTGCGGAGCGGCGCACACGCACCGGCGCCCGAATCCAGCAAGAGGAGAGGCCCTCCACACCCGTGGCCGCCCCACTCGCGGGACAGCGGGGTCTCAGCCTTACCAAGGGTTCCCGCCAGCCTGCTTCTCCAGCAGCAGCCGCTTCTCGTCTTCGGAGAACTGTAAGTCCAACTCAAAAGAGTTCGAGTCCAGGTCGTGGATGTACTGCTCAACGCTGCTGCCCGAGCACGGCGGCAGGCCCGGCTCCGGTGTGGCCAGGGAGTGGGACGAGGACGAGGAGGACACCTGCATACAGCCAAACTGGCTCAGGAGGTTGTCGTACTGCGGGCGGAGAGCGAGAGGCACTTCAGGTCCAGGGGCCCTGCCCTGTGAGCACGCACACATGTGCACACACACACACTTGTGGGCCCAGCCTTGCAGACTCACTGAGCGCAGCCCTGCCCTGTGAGCACGCACACATGTGCACACACACACACTTGTGGGCCCAGCCTTGCAGACTCACTGAGCGCAGCCCTGCCCTGTGAGCACGCACACACAGGCGCATACATACACGCGTGGGCCCAGCCTTGCCAAGCACAGCCCTGCCTAGTGAGCACACACACACACGCGCACCACATGCACACTCATGGGTCCAGCCGTGCAGACTTGCCGAGCGCAGAAAATGCTCACACACAGGCGCAGAGTCCCCCACCCCTCGGCTGGCCCAACCCACCCGCCGCCGTGGCTCTCACATTTCCGTAGCAGTCCTCATCATCCTCAGACATGGCCGGCAGGTACGCTGTAAGCTTCGGGGGCGTCTGGCGGTGCAAGTTCTCCCAGGAGATGGACTCAAAGAACGTGTGGGCCTTGAGTGGGGCGTACCCACCCATCTCCTCACAGCCCAGGCGCTTTGTGGCATCTAGGACCTTAGATGAAGGTAGAGACAGGTTGGTGCCAAGACTGAGGTCATTTGGAGGAAACCCTGCCCTGAGGGCTCTGCTCAATTCTCTCTACCTCCTAGAGACGGCCTGGGCCAGCTCCTGACACACAGGCTAGGGGGCCGGGCCAGCCTCTGGGCTCCGCTCTGTCTCCCTCCTCTCTGGAGAAAATGAGTGACAGCTTCGGGACTCACCCGGCAGCTGCGGTGTCCTCAGCCACAGGGAGCGGTCTGGCCAATCAGCCTCCAAACCGAGGCACAAGTACCTGGCCGGATGCAGCACCAGGTACACACGGCCCCTCAGCACCTGACTACCAGCGGCCACTGGTCGGTCTCCCCTCCGCCCCGCAAGGACCGGCCTCCCTCGCTGAGAGCAAGGAGGAAGGTGACCTCGGCTCTGTCCCTTTCTGGTCCCTCTCTCCCTGCCACCAGTTGGACGCTTCAGTTTCTGGGACATACACCGTGTCTCTCCCAGGTAACTCCATCACCTGGGCTGGTTTTTAAACCTCACTCCAAGCTGAGGCCCATGGAGTGGGGCCACAGCCCCCCTGCCGCCTGCAAACACACACGGGTCAGGGGCAGGATCTGGACACTGGGCAGCACTCATCCGGGGACGACCCGTCAGCTCCAAGCCTGGCTAGTCGCGCCCACGCAGGGCGAGGCCGGGGCACGAAGGAAATCTGAAGCGCTCACCAGAAGCCCTTCCACGAGGTCGCGGGCCTTGGGGAAGAATTTGTCTGGGAAATCGTATTCCAGCTTAATGATCTTCTGGAAGATGAGATACTCGTTCCTGGGGAACAGGAAAAGCAGTCACCCTGGGCAGGTCCCTCTGTCCCCTGGCCCCTGCAGCCCTCGCCCGCTCCAGGCCGGCTCAGCAGCTCTGCCCAAGTCACACACACTCCTGGCGTGGCACAGGCCTGCCAACCCTCCCTCCTTCCCTGTGGATCCCCGGCTGAGGCCACAGCCACCCAGAGGTGACAGAACACAGTCTCTTACCCCGCTCTGAAGGGGGGGAGTCCTGCCACCAGCTGGTAGGTGATGCAGCCAAGAGCCCAAAGGTCGGAGCTTCAGGAAGAAAACAAAGGAAAGGGACGTGTCAGTGACAGGTAGGGTCACCTTCTAGGTGAGTGACCCAGCCCAGATTAGCCCGTCTCCTCTCCTGGAAAATTGGGGATGGGGATGGGACCCGCCTTGCTCCTTCCCAGGGGGCTTCCTGGGGCTGGGGCAAAAGTGTCCCCTCTCTCCTCTGCTCTCCCACAGTCCCTACACTCTGCCTTCCGGCCGGTGCCCCACCTCCTCAAAGCCCATCCCCACAGAGAACAGAGCTCACGGCTGAGGCCACCCTGGGTGGGGGGTAAGCAGTGTTGACTCTATGGCCAGCCTCACACTGGCCGCGCAGCGTGGCCCCTGCTGTACAAAGACTGTGCCAACAATGCACAGAGAGCAAGGACTGGAAACACCGGAATGACAAGCCCGGTGACCCCGGGCCCAGACACGAGGGGGTGTCTCGGGCTCTCAGTCTGTGGATTCACTAAGAGATCTTTACAATGCATGATAGAGATCTTTACAATTCATGATACAAATTTTAAAATCAAAAAAGAATTTTAAATAATCTTTGAATAAACATCAGCTGATTAAAAAGTTAAAAAGCATAAAAGACTGCACTGTCTCACACATACTGCACCCACACACACAACACACACAGCATGACAGGGAACGGACATCCAGGGGGTTGCATGGTGTGCAAAGTGTGTAACACATGTGTTACTTGTGTAAAAGTACTGGAGTGATGGCTCCCTCTCCCACAGCCACAGGAAACCCTGCTGTTTCTGGTACATTCTCCAAGAAATTCTACATGTACACGTGAGCAAACAGGACACAGACACACATGTATGCCAGCCCGCTCCTCCCACTCACTGTCCACGTGCCAGCCTGTCTTCCTTGTCTCACTGCGTGGACACTGGAGACTGTTCCATGTCACTCCTAAGTGTCTTTATTCTAGAATGAAGTTTAATAGCAAGAGAAGCTGTTCCAATGATGTTTCTACAAGTTTATCTGTATGTTCTATAAGAATTCCCAGGTGTATAGTAGAGCTGACAAGGGACAAGGTTGTGGTCACTTCTTGGGCACAGCCAGCTGTTTGGAGGGAGTGAGTAGTTGGACCCGTGGGCTCAGGACCATGGTCGCAGGGGACATCAAGCTCAATTGGCCTAACATACTACGCAAAAACACTGCTCCACATCCTACTGTGGGGAGTAGCTACTGGGATCTTAAAAGCTTGCAAGTGGCCATCTAGATGCAACAATGAGTCACTCCTCGTCCAGAGCAAAGAAGAATGAAGAAAACCAAAGATGCAGGGAAACAATCAGTTCAGGGACTGGCACACCATGCGATCCTCAGCCCATCCTCATATGACTGTGAGACCAGAAGAACTAGATGGTGCCCGGCTACCACTGTCAACCACTCGGAGGGGGATCTACGTAGGGGATCCTGGGTGGAGAGGGAGAACAATGTGGAACAAAACTCAAAACCACTTAAAAAAAAAAAAAAAGTGGGGGAGGGACCAGGTTTGCTGGTCTGATAGAGCCTGATGAACCGCTGTGGCCCCCAGCTGCCCTTCAGGTCTGGAATTGAATCCACTCCTGTGGCTTCCAGTCAAACAAAAGACAGACATACGAGCTGAACATTTACATTAGGTAGATACACTCCTTGGAGAGAACAATCGTGGGAGAATAGAAGGGCTGTGTATGCACAGGGAGATGGCTCAGGGGGCAGGAGTGCATGGAGGGAAGGACAAAGGGAAGAGATGGTTACGAGAAGGAAGTGGGAGGGGAGCTGTTGCGTTGTGGGAGACTGCAGTCAGTGTCCTGAGACAAAGTGTGTGTGAACTGCTGTATGGAAAGTCAATTTGCTCTGTAAACTTGCACCCAAATCACAATAAAATTAACAAAAGAAACAAAACCGAGATGTTCTAAGGTAACGAGTCGGACGTTTCTAAAATATGGTAAGCGGCACCCCCACTAAAAGAGGCTTTCTCCACCGAGCCCTGTGGGAGGCAGGGCAAGCGGTCCTCGCGTGGGGCCCGTGTGTTAGAGGAGAGATACGGCCAAGAGGCGACACGGGAGCGTCTCTCCCAGCGTGCTCCCCGACACCGGGCTCACGTGGAGCTGAGAAGGCAACACGGGAGCGTCTCTCCCAGCGTGCTCCCCGACACCGGGCTCACGTGGAGCTGAGAAGGCGACACGGAAGCGTCTCCCTCAGCATGCTCCCCGACACCGGGGTCATGTGAAGACAAGAGAAGGCAAGGTGATTACCTTTTACAGGCTGACTTCTCCGTGAGCAGCTCGGGAGAGACGTACTGGGCTGTACCCACGAACGAGTTGGCCCTGGCTAAAGAGAGGCAGGGGAAGAGAGGGTCACCCACGGCCTCAGTCGCTGAGACGGCTCCTCCCCAAAACAGTCCGGCTGAGAGTAATGGGGTCTCACGCACAGAGCAACGGAGGTCCTTCCCTGGGCCTGCTGCACAGGGTCCCCTGCCCCCATGAGGGCCAGCACCTCTTACCTGCCACCTGCCCCAGACGCAGCCACTGCCCTCGGTCGGCTGGGCTTGCCCCCCACCCCCCACAAAGGGCAGCTCCCCAGGGGTCTGGCATTCTGCTGACAACAGCACCGGACCCACAGTGAGCCCGTGCCAAGCACCCACGGAGTGTGGGAAGGCCCAGGGCACCAGGGTGGGCGGAGCCCTCTGCTCATGGATGAGGCCAAGGGGCTCTGCTGAGAAGGGACAAACAAGGCTCAGGCCTCCAGGCCCCTCATGTTGTCCTCTCTGGCCTCCAGCCCTGCCGTGCAGCCGCTCTAGGCCAGGGGACAGGCTTGCAGGTTTGCTTTGTAACAGGACTCCTGAGGACCTGCCCTCCCTGAGAAGCAGCTCCAGGGGTCGAGGACAGGTGGGCCCTCCGCCGCCAGCACGTGTCCTCCTGTGGCGTTCCCATGGGAAGGCCCCACCCACGGGCTGAGGCTCTGATGGGAAGGCCGCCCTGAGAGCATACTTCTCTCTAAGGATCCATGACATGTGATGTGCACCATCACCCACAATGCCCTACCAACTCCCATGGCCCTTGCACACGCAGCACACTGTACCGCCCCCTCAGCCCGAGACTAGGCATCAGCTTCTAAAGGAGGCCGCCTTTCCCATCACCGGGTCCTGATGGCCGCAGACCCGCCTGCCTCTGGCCGGCACCCCCACACCAAGCAGGAGACAAACCCCAAGATTTAAGATCATCTGCTCCATACACATGAGCCCATCGCTAGCGTGCCCCGTGCGTGCCGTCAGTCTGGTGGTTGGAAATTCCCAGATTTCTATAAACCAACTGAAATACGTGTGCATGAGACTTCACACCAATAAACTGACTTCTGACACTGTCAGGCTGGGGCTCCCCGCCCCAATCGGCACAGAGAGGCAGGGATGAGAGCACGGTGTGGCCAGGCTGTGGGGGTCGGGAAGGGAGCCCGGCACAACCGTGGGACTGCACGCCCCACTGCCTCAAAGCCCCAGAGAACGGGATGCCTGCGCCCGCACACCGCGCCCAGCACCTCACGCTCAAGGGTGGGCCCTCTGCGCCGCGTGGGAAGGCACCCGGGCTGCCGGTGCCGTGTGGGGGCGGCCCCTCCACGTGGGGCCCACGGGCTTGGCATCGTTACCAGTGTGCACCGTCTGAGAGACACCAGGGTTAATGGGTTTGAGACAGCAGTGCCTGGGGACAGACGGAGATGGCGCACCACTCCCCCTGCGGCAGTGGGACGGTCTGGAATCCAGGTGTGCTTCTCAACAGCCCCATCAGGCACCAAAGCGCTGTCTCCAGGGAGGGCCGCCACCCTGCAGGAGCACTGTGACCAAGGAGCCATCCTGTCCTAAAGGCTCACGTTTGCTCGCTCCCTGAGTCACTGGCCTGGGCCGCGTCTCCACCAACACCTGCTCTCCTGGCGCCCTCCACTCCGGCCACCTCTGCTGCGTTCCTCTCGGCCTGGTGACAGCCCACTACGCCGCCTGCCCCACCCAGACCCTTGGTCCCACAGCAGCCCTGAGGGTGGTCCTTCCGTCCGCAGGAGCCGAGGGGCCGTGCCCCAGGGACGCACAGCCCCCCCTCGGGGTGGACCTTCTCTCCTCCCCCTGGAGCTGATGCACCTGGCAGCTGAAGACGAGTGAGACCCTTTCAGAACGAGGCTTCCAGAGCCCGACACAAACCACACGGCGGCAGACAGACGACAACACGTCCCAGTGCAGAACACGAGGGCGGGCGTCGGACGCAGCTCCCGGCTCCGACCCGACACTCGACACACCCTGCGCAGCAGGGGCTGGGCGTCAGCCTGTTTGAACGGCTCCAGGCCGCGCAGAGCAACGAGGGGCAAACACATCAGACGTGCACGGAAATGAGCACAGAGGCTCGACGGACCACGCAGACCCAGCCTCCACGACCCTGCGACCAGAACCAGCCGGGGCCCGGCCCCCACGGCTCACAGCTCTGACACGGATCACAGCAGGAGCTCCCGGACGGGCTGGGAGAGCAACAGCAACAACTCAAATCACGAAAACGACCAGGCTGCCTGGTCCGACAGAGACGGGAGGAACCCCCAAGACTGGCCGCTAGGCACCCTGCAGCCTGGACCCGGCCTCCCCCGGGGCCCCTCCAGGGGAACCAGAGGCACCCACTCCTCAGGACAGGCAACCACACCAGACCCACAGGGCAGGTGTGCCCAGGGGGGATGCGCCGAAGGCAGGAAGGGACGGGAAAGGAGGACGGACGGGAACAGGAAGCACCGTGAGGAGGGGGAGAGGCCGTGACACTGCGGGGCCTGCAGTCAATATCCCAAAACGCGTGTCACCTGCTGAACGGGAAACCAATCTGCTCTGCAAACTTTCACCCAAATCACAATTAAAAGTTAAGAAAAAAAGAAGGGCTCTCCAGGCGCACCGCACAGGACCCAGGAACACGTGTGGCTTCTCCCGGGAGGGGGCCCCCGACAGCAGGAAATGTTGTTAGAGGCTGCTCTCTGGCCTCATGTCCCTGCCTCCTATCCGTGAAGCTCAAGCCAAGAACCCCGTCAGCATCAGGAAGCCTCCCGACGCGCTCCCGTTCCTGCCCTGGCACCCTCGGCCATTAGCCAGAGGGCCAACTCACCAGGCCCAGAACTCAAGCCCTGGCCTGCACTGCCTCTCATGACCACTGTCTCCCTCAGCAGTATGAACGGAAGCTCAGCTCCGAGAGAAAGGTCCGGGGCACGTTTGGTGTCTCCATCCTCAAAGGGGCTCGGGAAACCAACCAGCATCCGGTTGCAGTCCGCCGGTCACCACAGACCTGGAGTCAAACCCTGAGGGGCCCCCAGGGAGGGAGGACCTGAAGACGTGTCCTAAACGCTCTTCCCAGCCAAGGCCACAGACCGCTGCTGTCTTACCCACACCCGAAGCCCAGAAACCACACGCCACGAAACGTGACTCACCCTTTGGACGAGATTCTGGCAGAACAAATCCAGCAACAAGAACAAAGGGTTACAGGGCGGGGAGCAGGGGACTGAGCCCCAAACACAGGGGTGGTCTACCACACTCCAAACTTCAGCAAGACACCACGTCGAAGCAACAAGGGACCAGACCCAGCTCACCGCCACACGCTCCGCTAAGCGTGTCTTCGGCCTCCGGGCCCCCGGCCCTCGACAACCACTACAGACCTGACATCCGGACAGTTCACAGAAACAGGCACACAAAACGGCCTCTCCTGTGACCGGCTTCCTCCCACATCACGTGGTGTTTCCCAGGTTCACGCTGCAGCACGTGCAGAGCTTCACGCCTTCCCGCGGCCACGGGACTCCAGGGGGCCGACTGACCGTCGTCTGTCTACCTGCCTCCACTGACAGATGTGCGGGTTTTATGAAACACAATGCTAGGAACATTCGTGTGCATGTGTGTGTGAACACGTTCTCCATTTGTGTACATGTTTTCCTGCAGGCAGATTACCATCTCCCGGGTACACCCCTAGGAGTGGAAAGCTGGGTCATCAGGTGACTCTATGTTTAACCCTTTCAGGGACACCCCGGCTATTTTCCACATTTCCACCAGCCGTCTCGGAGGCTTCTAATTTCTCCACATTCTTGCCAACACTTGCTATCTGTCTTTTTGACTGCAGCCCCCTAGCAGTCTCAAACAACATTTCACTGTGGTTTTGATTTGCATTTCCCTGATGGCTGATGCCCACCACCCGTGGGTCAGGCTGCAGCACCGTGGTGGCCATATGTGGCTGTCACACTGGAGGCTCTGCCCCCTGTACTGCAAACACCGCAGGGTCACCCACGCTGGAGCTGTTGCAGCGGAGCTTCCAGACCAAGAGAGGCTGAAGGACACGTTCATCTGTTTCTGAAAACATGGCCACTGACCTCTGAGATCATGGCCCCTAGTGACTGTTTTCGCCTGGAACTGAACTCACTTCCGTGGCTTCCAGCCAAGCAACAGACAGGCGCACAGGGTGAACACTGACACCAGGGAGGTGCACGCCTTGGACACTCAATCATGGAGATCGAAGGGCAGTGATTGCACAGGGAGACAGCTGGGGGGCACAAATGCACAGGAAAGGAGGACACAGGGAAGAGGTAACTACAAGGAGGAAGTGGGCAACTGCAATCAATGTCATGAAACAAAATGTGCATGAACAGCATGTATGGAAAGGAATTTGTTCTGTAAACCTTCACTCAAATCACAGTAAAAAATAAATTATAAAATCCCAGCAACATGAAATTGGAATTTTTGGCCAGTGGCTAATTTTCTGAACATTCACACAAACTACATTTAATGTCACAGATCACTAAATGAGATGGGCCACATCTACATATCAAATAGGTCACTGTTTAAAAATTTGAAAATGAAAGAAAAACACATAAGCTCCTCACACCCAATCCCTCAGGATTCTAACTTTCAAAAAATACAGCACACCTGCCTGCTGCTGGGAAATGGCCGAGACACCTTCTGAAGGTATGTTATTGTGGGTGAACGACCCTAGTGTCACAATAAAAGCAAACAGAACAGACCGTATCTTACACATCTCATGGTTTGCAAGCCCACCTTCTTCCTGTGCCAAAACACAGACCTGTCTCTGCTTCGTGTCCCTGGGGATAAACCTCCAGGGCCCAGCAACGAACTCTGTCAACAAGATTAAGGCCGGATCACCAGCTTCCAAATTCTAAACCAGGTTCCAATTCCAGCCTCTGAATCATTCTGCCCAAGATACACGTATCAAATATCCTGGGAGCAAGGTACAAAATGTTAAAATAATAATAATAATAATAAAAGAACAGGCCACTGAACACCTTCTGAGCAGCGGTGAGAAACTGTCTGATGCGATGCT